GTCAAGAGGGAGCTCCATGTCGAGGTGGAAAGTTTTTCGTCGACCTCGAATTCGAGCTTTAGCTTCCTGGCGCCGATTACGGGGCATTCGTTGAGGAGATGCTCGAGCATCAGTGCGGCGCCTGTAATACATTAATATGTTATTATATTGACCATACAGGGCGCTAAATACCCGTCATGAATACAAGCCCCACTGACTGTATGTGTACAACACTTGACACTTGACAGTATGCTTTAAATAAGAGCGTTACTTTTACCTGTTCAGTACAACGTGCAAATCAGTGAGTCAGCATATTGCACGAAACAGCCAAAAAAACCTTACGCTCCCTTTCTATACCGCAATTGTGATCCCCGGTAACCCAATGACCCAAATATTTCTAATATACATGTAATATTTGAATATGTAAATATTTAAATATAGAGACCCCAGACAAGGCTGTACCGCAGAGTGACACTTCAGTTATCTACCCCCCGCATGGGCCTCACAGGTGCGGCTTCTTCAGCCCACTTCCTCAGAACAATAAATCATAGCAAACTTTGAATACTATCTCTTATGAAACAAAATTGGCGGCTTACACTTCAAAACGTAGCTAAGTTGAGAAAATACTGAAGTGTAATAAAATATTGCTGCTTTACAGCAGCCTGTCGATGGTCTTCAGAATGTGACAATTATAACTGCAAAACCGCCTTTTTTATAGTATTCTATATTTATATTCTATATCTATCAGTATTATATTTTTATGTGATAATATGATATCCTACATCAAATCCTTTCGTGGAAGCAGGTTTTGAAAAGTAACAACAAATATGTATACTTAGCTAACAATAAAACCTTTTTCCCTTTTGTGTCTTTGTCAGCATTGTGACAAAAATATTTGCAATGGCTGTTTGGTAAGCACAACTAATAATATAAGTAATCCTGGGATGCATCAATTTTCTCATTTGTGCCTTACAATGTTGAGGTTGTATGGACAACTCATGGGAGTATTTTAAAACTGTTGCAGTATTTTTATTGTGTCATTTATGCTCCGGTGTGCATGTATTTATTAATTTTTTTTTATAACGCACACACTCAACATAGCCCCGCACTAGGGAAACCCTATGTCGCGGGTGCCATGGATACACACATAAACAACCACAAATTACACCCAAACTCACGAGAGAAATAAATGTAAGCCATACAAACATTTCTCCCGGCCCGGGAATCGAACCTGGGACCTCTGCGTGGCAGTATATATTACTTTATAAATTTTTAGTGTCATCATCATCATCATATGCCCCAATGCTGGACACGGTTCTCCTCTCAGGCGAAGGTTCATGCTATAACCACGCTAGAAATGAGGGTTGAGGACTTTACGTGTACCGAGGGTTGTGAATCTTCTTCGACGTGCAAGTTTCATTACGATGTTTTCTTTCCCCAAAAAGCTCATAGTAAATTTCAAATTAAATTTCGCACATAAATTCCGAGACACACGGAGTTGAGAGCCCGGATTCGAACCCACAGGCTCTCCTTGAGAGGTGGAACGTGAAGCTTAAATTTTTGGTGTATCATCATTACGCACTACAACATAATATTCGCGACTTTTTTATATTTTTTATGATATCAAGTGACGGGACGAACAAGTCCTGTGCCTGGTGGTAAGCAACACGCCTGTCCTTAACAGTTGCAGTGCCACTCAGAGCTTTAAATTACAAAAGTTTAAGGGGCTTTACCACCGCACCCTGAGACATAAGTTGACAAGTTCTATGTGCCAGTAATTTCACCAACAGCCTTACCTTTCCAAACCGGAACACACTTATGCTCACATTACTGCTTGGCGGCAGAAATTGGTAAGGTGGCAGTACTTCTCTGGACGAACTCTTTCACACAATGAGCTCTACTGCTGCTAAAAATTATGACTTATAAGCGTGGGATCATAGTTGACTCTTTACGTCACATTTATATATTTGTAGACCGCCTTACACACAACTAAAACAAACAAGCTCTATTGCTACTGAAATGTTATGTACTCCAAAGTTCTCTGTAGCTGAGTTGTAAACTCTTTTGATACGTTTGTTTAATTTATTAATTTGCGTTTTCTTTTTACGGTATTGGATAGAAATAAAATAATTTGAATTACGGTTTTCATTATTCAGAACATATCAATTATTTCGAAATGTCGATGTGTTTTTTAATTAACATTATAACTACTATATCATTGTGTAAATGTTTACAAACTTAAAAAAAAACTTTAAAAGAAAACTGATCATAGGAATGTTCCTACTCAGTCAGTCAATCAGTTTTCTGTGCAAATGTTAGTCGCTTTTAATTTCCATTAATAACATTTATTAATTAATACAACATTACAGAAATGAACAGTACTTGTAATAGGTAAGCTAGACTACTCAGAAAATACTGCTACATTGCATTGCAAATAATTTACATTAAAAAACTATTAATGTAATATAGTAAGGTTGAAATTCCATTGCCGCGGTACGAAATGGAAGCAAATTTTAGTTACCATAGCATAATGAACTTTATGTTCACGGAACATTGCCCTACCAGAAGGAAGAAAAACAATGGAAGTGCCATTACTATCAGAACCGTTGTCGCCAAAAGTCACACAATCATATTCCTTTAAATACTATGAAATCTTGATATTGATTGGTCGTAGTTTCTAATTTAAAAAGATGTAACAAATTCTGGACTGTTAATATAATTAAATTTTACCACTTGGCTTATCGTTGAAAGTTCAACACCTATTATTACAAGTTACGACGTTTTAATTTTTATCCGATTTCAATAAAAGGAGGAGGTTGTCAGTTCGACTGTTTTTTTTTACATGTATGCTACTCCAACATTTGTGAACCGATTTTGATGATTCTTTTTTATTGGAAAGAGGGTCCACGGTAGTGGTTCCATTAAATTTAAAAAAAATATGCCACACACACAGGGTGGCAAACCAGGGGATGAATCCGGTTTCGCGCACTTTCCGGTAACTGATTCCAATAAAACTTGGCAAATATATGTAATTCCACGAAATTTTGAGGTCGGTTTTTTAGTACTCTGTACTGAGATTTCATTGAAATTTCATTCAATCTGCTGCCATTTAGCGGTAATACATAGCTGTAAGACTATGAGACAACGAACGATTAACACTTATTAACGTTCTCCAAAAAAAATTTGGCCATATTGTAGCGGTATAAGGTTTACTTTCGTTTCTTATAACAAGAAATCAATTATGATGAAAATGGAAATTTTATTAAATTTATAAGTTTACGATGATATGAAACACCATCAAGAATGATATTACAAATCGACTATAATTTATGCACTTAAAAGTAGCAAATTGAGGCATTTATCCACGATTTTCGAGATTTCGCATGAGATAATTGACATAAACATAAGATAAGCAAAAATGGCGGAATGACCTCAAGTGTGTTGAACAACACGTACTGTTGGCACACGTGTCAAACCTGCTAAGCACTTCAACTGTATTTATTTTTCGGTGCTTATGTTAATAGTGTAACGTACACACTAGGTACGAGCCAAAAAAGAGGTCGCGCGTCTTCCAGAGAATTCTAACGCGGTCTTTGGAATCCCGCAGCTGCCGTATTGAATCAAGTTTTAAGTTCGTTTTCGTTCGCTCCGCAGCGACTTAAATTGAGCATAAAGTGTAACGGACTATTTTTCGTAACAGCGGTGCGGTCCCAGCGCATACTTGCTATATAATTAAGGCGAGTTAAAGGAGGAGAAGCGGGAAAAACTGTTTTGTTAGATCAAATGGTTTAGGCATTTACAATTAAATAACGGTCGTACACAAAATATACCATACACCTAAGGATATTGTTCAAAGAATTTGCTAATTTGTTTCACGAAAGGACGCCCGATCATACAAAATTCTGAAAACAGGCACATTAACGTCTAAAACGAGTAATTTAAGAATAAAATATCTAACTTTGCACATCATTTTTAAATGGAGATTTTTCTCTTTAAGTCCTACAGGGAACCTGCTAAATTTTGATTTTCAACTGAATCCCTGTAGGGGGAAGCGGGGCAGTTTGATACAGGGGGCACATTCATACACCAGCATTATCTCCATACCTTCAAACATAATATTAGTTGTGATAATACTAAAACGTGCCTTTGTAAGTGAGTAATAGACATACGATGATGCAGCTCACCAGTTAGCCGTTGTCGTTCGACAGGTCACAAAATGTTTTCACAGCCGTTGACTAAAAAAATAAGCGACACAAATACGAGTGCCACTGCAGTTCGTTCACTTTACAGGGTTTTAAGTCTTCATACATGGTAAACTGGTGTTTCCAATAACTCGAATTGCATCTGTCTTTGAGAGAATATATAAAGATTTTTTATTTATTAAATATTTTTTTCTAAAGTGGCCGATGGGGTACTTTTATACACTAGTGAGTGGGGCAGTTTGGTACATATCAAAGTGGTCCTATTAGTTATTTTGTACGATAAATGTAAAACTGTTTCCACAACTTATTGTAAAGAGGTGAACTAGTGACATTTTACGCTATAGTCAGCTCTTCCTCCTGTGTTTCTACTTCCAAAAGTACATTACAAAGAACACTTTTCAAATGGTGCCCTAGAAAGAAGTCTTGATCTAGCAAGTGCTGGACACATATAGCGTCATACTTTATGGGCAGTTGATCACCTAGTACTGATAATACGTGGCAACCAGGAATGGCACACTACGTTGATTCACACATCTAAGTGCCACAAGCGATTTATCAAAGTACCCCACAGGTGGGGCAGAATTGAACAATTCCCATTTTTTGTTAAAATCAAAATTTTTCAATTATTCGATGCTATTTATAATAGACAATATTAAATTCGTAATGTTTCTTAGTTATATCATCAATTAGGTGAAAAAAATATTCATTATAATTGCATTTAGTAACCTAGGGCGGCATATCAATACCTGTAATTAGTCAGTTACATCCGTAACTATTCTCATTCACTAATGATTATTATTGTTGTTCCATTGTCCGCAGATCAAAAGGAACCCTCAAAACGGCCTGTCTTTTGGCATGGCCGGATGGATTGCCAGACGTGTCATATATGGATTTTGTGTATGTATTACATTCCTAAGTAATAGTTTATCTGTCATCATCGTTCTTAATTTTAATTTTATTTCAAAGGTTTCGTGTTAATAATAATGCAATATACTAACTAATTTATTAGAACAGTTTTATTTTCTAAAGTGCAATGAGACGGTACAAATGAATGCCCCAACTTTCCTAATTTTTAATTTTTTTTAATAATGGACAACATCATATACGTTGCTCTTCCGAAGTAAGTAACTAAACACTTGTGTTAAGGAAATCGGAAATAGCAAAACTTAAGTACTTTAATTTTATGCTTTGATCTTAAATTTTGTCTTTTCCTAAACTCGTTAATTGCAGTTGATATAGCCGTACTTAAAAATAATTCCTTCAGTTTAATTTGAAGCGTGGTCTTTATTACTGGACGTGCCAGGTTGAAATTAAAAAAAGTTATTTTTTCATTTTGCCCTAATTAGATTACATTTATAAAATCTGTTTCTTTTTATAATTTTAGGTGTTACGTATAACTGATTTTGTGCTACTACATATAAAACGAAAATGTGAATCCAAATAATGGCTAAAGAAATACCAACCCTTTAAGCTTGAGTTGGGTATCTGAAAACGTTTATTATAGTCGTAACCTACATTTCACTGTTCCAAAATTATCACCATCGTTATTATTCGACTACACATACAAGTAAAATTTTTGGGTAGCATTTCCAAAAGGCATTGAATAGAAGTTATTTGTTTTAATAATTGGATTGAGATGTACAATACAATACAATATCAAAATTCTTTTATTAACACAATGACATCTAGAAAAAAATCTAGAAAAAAAATTCATCTTTCACGGTACGCCAAACATGTCAGAGGGCAAGAGGTGGTATCTCAACTTGTGCTGTTTGGAACCGTGTTGGTATCGCACGCAGCGCTGTTTAGCCACTTTCTTGTGCCCAAGGATTTTATGCGGGCTTAAATGCAACCAGGGCCTAAAACAATTATAAAATTTGAAAAATTATGATTCGAATATCATTATATGTATAATAATATATAAACAGTTAATTAGAGTTATATTTAATTATTTGTTACAGATACCAAGTTTTGTTCTTCGTAGTAACGTACGCTGTCCCTATGCTAGGAATGACATTCTTCTACTCAGCTATGGGTAAAGTCCTTTGGGGATCTCGGTCTATAGGTGAACTAACACAGAGACAAGTGGACTCTATTCGCTCAAAACGAAAGGTTTGTTTTTTTTTATTACTGCACGTTCTACAATAAACTGTATAATAATTGTAATATTGATTGTGATGAACATTATAATTTTTTTTACGAAATTATTTCACTGGTTTGTTTACAAATATCGAACACAAAGAAAAATCCCTTCGATTTGACAGGAAACGAACCAGCGTCTGTGCTATAACAGGGCGACCCCTGTATCAACTGAGCTACAATAGAAACATCAGACTTTATGACTTTTTCTATGCGTTAAAAGTATAAAAATATAATAATTATTGTCTTCTTAGATTTTGTATTTCCGTCATATTCTACATCGACAGATGTTTATATTAGGGGTTCCAAATAAACTAAGCTGTCAAAGAGATCTTTCCATTTTATGTATAAAGTTCTTAACGAAGCCGTTTGATGTTACAAGATAGGGATTTTTTTGGATAATACTCAAAATGATTTTCTTTCGTTGTGACGTCAGAGTAACATAATATCGTGAGCAAATCTATATGCCGAAATCTGACCTGGGTATTGTAAGTTGAAAAAAAATTGGATAAGTTCCGCGTGGTGACCCATTGCCTGGTTGGGAAATTGCTAATCCCTTATCAGTAGGACACATTGTGTGGGTGGAAAGTATGTAAGGACTAACCAATTAGTAGCAGTAGAGCGCCTTGTGAAAGAGTTCGTTCGGGGTAGTATTGCCACCTTACATATTTCTGCCGCCAAGCTGAAATGCGAGCGCAACTGCGTTCCGGTTTTGAAGGGTAAGGGGGCTGGTGAAATTACAGGAACGTGAGATTTGTCAACTTATGTCTCAGGGTAACAGGTACAGTGACAGTGTTCCTCAGATCTTTGCGATTTAAAGCTCTGAGTGGTGCTGCAAGGGCTATGGGCAGGCGTTTCACTTAATATCAAGCGCACAACTTGTTCATTCCGTCAGTTAATAGCATAAAAAAAACTAACCACTATGTATGGCCTAGAATCTGTTGCCAGAAAAGAATCAGTATATTATAGAAAACAAGACTTGTTTTATTTCTCAACACACTAAACTGAAGGGTTATTATTTAAAATTCGATTAAGTTCAAGGTTTAAGTAATTTTCTTCACACTTCGTACAGTTGTACACTCAATATACGATCAATACTAATTTATGAAGCAAATTTCTAAATTTATAAAGCAACTTTCCCAAGAAAGTACTCATTTAGGTATAATCAAACAAAATGATTGACAATAATTGACGTCGATATACCTTCTTTGTTTACTGTCTTAAAGGTAACATTTATTAGAATATTGTACCTCTATACATATATTTTACCTCTATACCTATTATACCTTCGAGTGCTGGGAATGGGTCGAGACGAACGAAACTTTTCAAGGATTGTCAATCTTTTTCGATGTGTAGGTTTCACCTTGATGTTTTCCATCGTAGTAAGCGAGAAATCTGCAACCGTTAGTTGAACAGGCGTGACATTATTTCAAAAATTTTGTTTGTGTAGGTACTGCCGAGATCAGTAAAAAAGGCCGATCAGTCACTATGTTTATTTTTTCCTAGGTGGATAAGGCATGAAGTTACTGCAAGAGAAAAGTAGTATTTTTCAATTACATTTTATTAAACTTCATCAGTTTTGAGCTTATGTCTCAGGCGCCCGTTCAACTAACGGCGACAAAAGTATTCTTACGAAACATATTTATGAATGTTTCGTAAGATTACAGATAAATCGAATACAATGGTAGATCTAATGGTTTGACCTATCATCTCTCAAGCAGAGGCCTTGGGTTCGCATCCGGGCACCTCTGAATTTATGTGTGAAACTTAATTTAAAATTTACCATGAGCTTTTCGATGAAGGAAAACGTCGTGATGAAACCTGTACGTCGAAGAAGGTTCACAACCCTCGAAAAACGTTTGAAGTTCCAATTCATATTGGGCGTGGCTGACTATGGCCCAAACCTGAAAGGAGACCCGTGCCCAGCGGTGAGACGTATAAATGCATTGATGACGATGGTGAAGATAAACAAGTGTGCATAACTTAGAAATTGGAGTTATAGTTTCTTGAAGCCACAGATTCGAAACATCGATCTGACCTCTACTCTACTCTTGGTAACATTAATAAAAGCAATGTTGTCAATAATTGCATTGATGATTCTTAATTTACTCTTATAGCAAATAGCTAAATAGCTATTCCCTCTAAATAGAGGGAATTTATTTTATTTTTATTTTATTTAATTGTTTATTGTACAGGAAAACACAAATCACATTTGGTAAAACGGAAAACACAAACAAAAGGTACTGCTTATTTCTATAAGAAATTTCTTCCTGCAGACCAAAATACAGGACACAATAATTACGATAACGGGTTTACGTGCACAACAAAATAAAATTAAATTATGTAATAAAATAATAAGAAAAAAAAGAACACCAAAAATATTAAATTACTGCAGACTGTGTAAATACTTAGATAAATGCATATTTCATATTATAATATCTATAAAATGGATGGAACAGAGGATAAATAGTGCTGCTTGACTCTCATTTTAAAGATAGCTAAGGATTTACTGTCTTGTACAGTAATGGGAAGCGTGTTCTAAAGTCTGACCGCATAAACAGTAAAGTACGTCTACGTACGTACGTTACGTCTCTTTATATCAATTTTCTCTAACAACTCCCAATTGTCGCGACCGTTTTTATAATACTATATCTATAGTGGTACTTTGAATGCTAATGTTATTTGAATAACTCTACCATACCAATTACTTGTTGAGATATTCGCATACTGGTTTTTTAGGAAAAAGGTAACCAAAGTAGTCTTATTCTTTCAGAAAGAATGTTTATATTTACAGGGCGGGAATTTGTGAATAATTTAGTCAATTATTATTAATACAAAGAAAGAACAACACAAAGAAAAATTCCTTCGCTCTGATAGGACTCGAACCAGTATCTGTTGCCATGCCGGGGCCATAATAAACAACTGAGCTATAGACCGAATCACACACTAAAGGCGCCATCAAATTGGTTGCAGCCGCGCTACTGCTCATTTTTATACAATATCTCCAGGTAATGAAACATGAAGAAAAACTTTCATAGATTTTTCACAGATGGCGCTACGGCAAAAAGTAGTTAAATCAAAAACAAAGATCTGCAACAAACACATAGAAAAATTGGGTCTGCTGCATAGATAACCTCCTAATAGATGCCGCCTGTTGAAAATTTGTACTGAACCGAGCTCACCAAATTCGGAGGAAGGCAAGAGACGCGAGGAATGCAATTAAGACGTTCTGATTCGCTAGTTCAAGGTCGAACTAGAAATGCACTGAAATTACACTTACAGCTAGTGACGAGCAACCTTTACCAGTCTGCACCCAATTAGTCAATAAAAACGATAACATTGTAACACAAATTATTAAATTCTTCCATGCTGATCTGAAAGCAAACGAAAAGCATAGAATGAATCAGCTGCTTATGATTCCGCGCAAATCGTAAAAGCCGACTGAGGGTCTGGGTTTACTGATGTCCAATATGTAAGCGACATGCTGGCAACTTCACTATTTAGTGCACTAAGTTATACTAATATTTTAATAAAAACGTTTGCTAAACGTGGCTAAAGTGAGCTTGTCGTGCTCAAAGCTCTGCCACCCCTATGGGAGACAGGCGTGACGGTAGTATGTATGTAAATTATTGAATGACTTACGACAGCAGGATGATATTTAGATACAGGAAAAAAGGAATTGTAAGAAAACAAGGTACTTAAGTATTATAAGTTGTCATATTTACAAAATCACGACTAATGAAATTAATTATGGCGTTAAGTATGTATAACGTCATAATTGAAGGCTTAGGTCATACAATGTAAGGTGATAAGATAAAATATGAATTTGTTATTCATTGTATTACGTTACAAGAATAACTCAAAGATCAAAGACGTCATAAAAACTAATTTATGTAACTAATTTCACACGAAACGTAATCGAAGAATAATAAACAATAAGTGCTATCTATAAACGTAGTTAAAAAAAGTAATATACTAATAATATTTGTTATACTGATTAAAATTCCCGACCCTAGTGTTACATGTGTCTTCGACAAAAAGAGGCTCTTAATTGAACATAATAACAGAAAGAGACCTGTCAGAAACACATCAACGAGAGATCAGTTTCCTTTGTAATTTTTTAGTGTTAGCCATTTTAATTTGACCTATATATTTAATATAACTTGTAAATAACGTAGTTATAACTTACCGGTGAAACGTGATTCCATCTTTTTGAAAGTTTGAGGCCCTGGATGTTTTTCCACGCCATTTCACGGCAAAGATAGTCATTTTTATAGTTCGTTTCACCAATGAAACGAACTATAAAACCAGCGTAACAACACAGGAATATCAGGAGATGCGCACGGGTCTAACACGTGGTCGATACTAAGTGATGAATTTTTGCAAAATTTTATATATGATCAATTGCACGGACGTGGGTGCGCGTCAGTTGCCCTGTATGCGGCATCTATGGACTGCTGGTTCGTTCCGTAGCATAGAGCGATGCCACAGGGACGTCAGCGTTGCGTCGTGGCACCGTAACACCCCTCTCCGCTTCGTTTCTGGCCCCTTGTCCGATGCGCACGCGTTCCGTCACCGTGCGCTGTTTTGCGTGTACCGTGTGGCATGTCGTTCAGATTTGTATCTAGTACGATACAGTTGCGTCAACGCTACACAAAGCCGACGGAACGCGCGTGTGGCATCTCCCTTAGTTAAGCGAGTAGGCTTGGTATGCTGAAGACGCTGGTTCGAATAAAATTTTCTCTGTATTCGATCTTTGTTATAACAAACTAGTGGAGTAATTTCACAATAAATAATTGAGTATCATGATAGTAAAACATCGTGATAGTCAATAAATTTAATATTACAATATCTAGTTTGCAAAAGTGGCGCGTTTGTAGCACGATTGTGACGCTGCAGTTGCGCTTCTAAATATTGTATGAAAATTAGTAGTGGCGTGGCTGTAGTGCCACAGACGCACCACAGACGCGCCTATGCCGCGCTTCTACAAGAGTCGAATTTGAAGGTCCTAAGGGTACCTGAAGTGAATAGTGTATACCTCAACTTTATAACCTGTAATGTAGAACTGTAAAAGTGAACGTAATTCTTATGTTACCTCGGGACCTTGGATTATTAAAGTTTACACAGTAACATACTATATTTTTTCTAAAAATATATAATAAAGCATCTGGTTAATTCTATTTGAAACTTGTTTTAGTTGTGTTTAAGGTAGCGTTCAAATATATAAATGTGACAAACATCATGGCGTCAACTATAATCCCACGGTCTCATTGCCCACATAGCCGACGGGAGCTGACCATTATGGTGGCGTTTAGCCCTCAGAGCCTAAATGCACGCAGGCTTAATGAAACGTCTGCAGTTTACTGTCTGCTACTGAAATTCATTTGTATCCCATTAACGCGCGTTATCTGCGCTTTGTCCGTGCTTAAAAAATGTGCCGTACGCATCGAAGGAACTTTTCGTTGTGTCGTTCGATTTATTATTGTATTGTATCAGTAACGATAACAAACTAGTGGAGTATTTTCACAAAAAAATATATGAATATCGTGATAGTAAAATATGTCAATACGAGTATTTCAACAAATAAACATTGACATTTAGTCAATGCCCTCAGCAATACGATGAAATTTCAATATAACGCCTACAAAATTCGCAAATCATCATTTTGGCCCAGTAAATATTAATACGAACATTTTGTTCCATACAACTGATTTCATTTGAAAGAAATAACTACCCGTATAGTATAGATCTGACACCACAGTGGACCCTTGAGGTATATATAGGCAATGTTTTATTCATAAATCTTTTTATGCTTCATTTTTATCTATAAATCGTTTTATTGGTATTCGTTTGATCATTCATTTTATTCCTCAATGTCTCTTTTTCCAACAGGTTGTGAAAATGTTTATCCTAGTGATAGTTATATTCGGTATCTGCTGGCTTCCGTATCATTCGTACTTCATCTACACACACTTCAACCCTTCGATCCTGTACATGAAGTACGTCCAGCATGTCTACCTTGGCTTTTACTGGCTTGCCATGGCCAACGCGATGGTCAATCCCATTATTTATTACTGGATGAATGCCAAGTAAGTGTGTTTAATGTTAAGTTATAATAACAATATATTCTTAAGTTAGCAGTAATGCTCCTCGTGAAAGGAAGTACTGCCATCTATATTTTTTATTTTTTTTATGATTAATAAATTATTGCCTGATGATAAGCGACTCGCCTGTTCATGTCTGCCGCCAAGCAGTAATGTGAGCATAATTCCATTCCGGTTTTGAAAGATAAGGGTGCTCGTGAAATTACAGGAACATGAGACTTGTCAACTAATATCTCAGGGTGACGGGCGCAGTGGCAGTGTCCCTTAGATCTTTGACATTTAAAACTCTAAATAGACAGGTGTGTCGCTTATTACCAGGCGCACGACTCTTTCGTTCTGTTACTCGGTACTATAAAAAATTTTTTTTTTTCTGATCTAAATTGCGTGTATCTGCTGTTTTTATGACTTGCTGTTTAGCTGACAGAGAAATATTCGTCAACCGGGTGTTGTCTAATATTAACGCAAACCACGCTATTTTTCACTATAGTTACAAAACCTATTAATTAAATACCTTACTTTTACTTTGCCAAAGAACATTCCAATTAACACTACCAGCGTTATGCGAAATATTTTATTTTGCAATATGAATAACATTCCAGGCGCTTAAAGTCCGAAACGTTAGGTTACTTAAAAACCAAATAAACGCCATTTAGATCCAAAAATAGTTTCATGTCCATTTATCATAATGACGTTATAACGCGTCTCAAAGTAGGGACTCCACCAAGTCTGCTAATTTTAAATCATCTCAGTTGTTTGTCGTGTCGGCTGCTATGGCGACTTTTTGGTATTCTGCTATTCAATGACTAGTCGATGGCACGATGGTGTGATCTATTAATACTATATAATAATATTTAATTTGAAGACTAAATTGCTGACTAAACGAGATAGAAATTAAAACGTACGTAATAATTTCCCAAATAATTTTATTAAGGCAACATCTATCGAGACTCAACTGCCATTCCAACTAATTTTAGCAGAGGAGTCTGAATAGAACTACTCCATGCTTTTTAAAGTAAGTTGAAAACAACTGAACATTAAGTGATCTAATAATAAAAAAGTATTTTCAATTGTTTCATCAATTTCAAAATATAAGGTTTTTAGTTGTAAGTATAGTGGTAACCTATCACAAACTCGAATTTCTTTTTTCCGAATTTCATTAGTCCGAAAATGGTTCGACTTTTTTCATTAGTGCGATAACAATTTGGTATAAATTTGCAACACAGAAATGTCTTACAGCAGAAGTATCGTTTGTCCGAAAACCTATTGTTAGAATAATTATTACACATACGTATTCTTAAGCCAGAAGTTTGTTTGACCTAATCATGTTTGTTATACTGTCTGTTTTCCATATAATTTAGATTGCTGAAAATTCGTTTCGACAAAATTACTATTCTTAGATAAAATTGTACCTCCATACAATTTTACCATATAGCTCCAAAATTCTGGACTGTACTTTGCTGGTGCACAGCAAGTCCACTTACGTAATTTTCGTCATACCATTGTGCTATGTTTTTGCTGTCATCTGAAATGTAATATAAAAACAATGGTCTTGAATATTCAATAAATAACTTATAACTGAATCGAGGAGAGTACCAGAGCCAGTTTTTTGTGTGTTAATGTAAACCTGCAGGTTAGGTTAGGATATGAAAAGGCCGCACGAGCCGAGCGAGCGAAGCGAGTGTGGCGCGGCAGCGGCCGGCGAGTGCCAGAGCTGAATTGGTTTGCATTACCTAGACGGTACGACCCCCTCCTGTAGGTTTAGGTTAGGTTAGTATATGAAAAAGCAGCACGATCCGATCGAGTAAAGCGAGTGACTACAACTCAATCAAATTAACTTGCATCTCGTTTACCATAATTTCTAAAGATGCGAGGTGCTTTAATTTGACGAGTTGTATTGTGCGACACGTTCTAATACTTTTAGTACCTGTAATAAGAAATAATATAACAAAAATGTATGATACATTTTTGTATAGATATAGTTTTTTACAAGAAAAAAATATTCAATTAGATACATTGGTCAAACGGTTTGTTGGGGAAATAAAAATCGGGAAAAGAATAACTTGTCAATACGTTAAAATAGCGAAATATTAAATGGTGTAATGAAAAAAACTGTATCATGTTTTCGGACAAATGAAACAAAATCTATTCAATAAAAGTGTAGAGGTTTTCGGAGAAACAAAATTCTATAAATCATGTTTCTAGTTTGTGATAGGTAACCAAGTATCGTATTTAAATTAAAAAAACAAGTATATACTGGTCGCAAAAAATCAAACCGTCGCGAAGGGAAAGTACCTTAAATGCTTAAGTTAGCTAATTATACTTGAAGACGACATTGTTTTATTTTTCTCAGTATGAGAAGCTGCAGTCACCGATTTTTGAAATCCTTACGAGCCGGGAATCGAATCAATTAAAAATGCAAAAAATAACACTCTCTATTTGATAATAACCAGTATAAAATCTATCCAGTGAACATTGGATCTAACAAATTACGACGTCCATGAAATCTAATATTAATCTATAATAACTATCGACTTTAACACAAAGGATATTATATGATAAAGGATATAAGATTGATGTACATTCTTGTCAACCTACGAGTATATCTATGGTTGTCAATAGTGACGTCAGTAAAATTCATGAATGTATAATTTTACGACACAGCTTGGCATTCGTGTTTCGAAATTCGAAAATTTTAAGAATGAAATTTTTGTATACATCATTATCTATGGTACACATGTTTGGTGTAGTATTTTGATTTATCTGTCTGGATTTTATTATGTGTTTTCTTGAGGTATTTTTTTAACGCACACACTCAACATAGCCCCGCACTAGGGAAACCCAGTATCGCGGATGCCATAGACATACACATAGACAACCACAAATTACACTCAAACTCATGAGAGAAGTGAATGTAGGCCATACAAATATTTCTCCCAGCCCGGGATTCGAACCTGGGACCTCTGCGTGGCAGTCCGGCATGGTAACCACGGAGGCAGTTAAAGGGGCTGACATGTTCAGTAACGATCAAAGTCCCTAAATAAATAAAGAGTAAAAAAAAAAATAATAATAATACGATCATCACTTACAGGATCGCTGTCCAGCACAACTTCTACTCCGGCAAACTCGCGTCAAAGCTCAATGCAAAACAAAGCAGTTTCGAATTGACGATATAATAAGTAAACATTTTTATTTTCGTTTTATTAAAACTTTTTAATTGGCCACCCCTTGCAATACTAGTTATAAATCTAAAAACTTAAGAGATGCGACTCGCATTTGATTATATTTTTTTATATAATGAATTGAGATTTGATCTCACTGTTGTAATGTGTTAAAAAGGCCATCACATCACACCTAGAGTTATTTTTGTTGTTTTATGAACGAATTGTAATGTATTTCAAGAATGCTTGCGTTTATAAAAATTCTTCCAAACACCATCCGGATATCACTTTTCTACGAATAAACTCATCAAACAAACAAATAATCTAGTAGAATAAAACGAAAAGTGTTAGTTACCTTCTTACATTAATGTTGCTCCTTATAACAAGATACTATTTAATATGATATTATAAATATTTGGTTTTATGTGTGTCAGTATACAACAGTACTAATGAAACCATAAATATACCTATATCAGTGACAATTTCAATTACCTACCGTACCTACTGATTGCTTTGTTTACTCCAGCAAACGGACGTGCTGCACAGATTCCTATATTCATTCTTTTTTTTATTATTTAAAAGAAGTGCGCATTTGATCTCCACCTCATCTGATGTACAGTGGCGAAACAGTTTATCTCGTTCCTTCGAAAACAATGCTCACCAGAACGCTATTATTATTAATGTTGATGGTAGTTTCTTCTAGGTATTGATCACAGACCACATAAATACTGCATTGACACTTCGGTTTTAATGTCAGGAGTAATAAGAACCTGTAGGATTTTCTTAACTCAAATTTTCTCTGGTTGGGACATAAATTTAAGTGTAAAATAAAAGTCAAATTAAAGTCTTTCTTCACAAACCGAAATTGCTGTTTTCATTGTTGCTGCCGGTACAGACGACAAAAAACTAAGTAATTCGGTGGTGATATCACAGTTGGTATTTCGAGTTGTGGAAGGTACCGGCCTTGCTAATGGAGTCGTCTGCCATTATTTTATATTATTTTTATGAAACTACCGTACATAGACATTTTTACTTGACATTGGCGAAATCATCTATTATTTCGCTGGGGCTGTAACATTCAAAAGAAGAAGATGAATTGGTATCTGTCAAAAATCAAATTAAACTAAGTTATCTTAATCTAGTCTTAAATTCATCATTGATTTGGAACACTTTATGTAAGATGCCCTAGTAGTTTTATTGCAGACGAAAAAAAATTGTAAAATGTTGGACATAAAAACAACACATACATGCAAGCAATTGCGTAAGTGGGTATCGACAAATGACCCTATCCTTAACGCATGGAAGTCCAACCTGATGATGTGCTCAAAAGAAAGGACTCACTTCGTTAACTAACACATCTGTAGGTCCCCCGTGAATACCAGGGATACCGCAATTGTTGTTTGACAACATCTGCAAATGCGGACGTGGATGCGAATTTTTCATTTTGAAATCATGCGGATATGTAAAAAAATGTTTTTTTCTTCATAATAAATGTGAATAATTGTGGATTTGGAGATCACTGAATTATCATTAATTTAAGTAAAAAAACATTTTACATAATTTGATTACGAAAGAGATGAAAGATATAAGGCATAGAAATATTACGACATTTATTAATACTTAAAGTTTTTAAGGAGGTTATCTTGAATAAAAAAATTTGTAAGTCAATTTAAATTCAATCATTTTTATAATTATTAACAAAGAACGAACTCAGAAAAAAAATACTTCGATCCGGCTGGGGTCGAACCAACGTCACCTAGCAAACCGTGCCAGACGCTATGCCAGCTAATAATTTTTGTTTAGAATACAAAAATTCTTGATTCCTGATTGGCTAATTAGCACTAGTAAAATATCCGTAACCTGCAAAACATCCGTATTCACAGAAACTCTGCATCGATTGATTCGAATACTGGATGTGAAAAAGAGATTTAAAAAAATATACTGATGATCCGTCGATGCAAACGTCTCCGACATCCCTAGTGGGCACATACAAATTCTAAGGCTTCTCAATTAATGCAAATTCAAACTGGAAAGCCATGTTATACAGATCTCTGTGCAAAGGACTCGGTAGTGCTTTTTTTTTAACATTTGTTCTACGTCCTTTTATTTTAAGTACGGAATTGGGACGCTACTGTATCGACTGTGGGATAACTCAACCAAATCGAATAGGGTATACGTTCTCCAAAACCGTGCACTGAAAAAGAAACTGGCTTCGAAGAAACATTAATTCTTTAGAAGCCTTTATAATCCACAAACTAAATACGAAAGTAACTGTCTGTTACGTTGTCACACCTAAACCGCTGAACCAAAATTGAAGAATTTTGGTATAGACATAGAAGGAACCTAGAAGGACATAGGCTACTTTAAGCCACATAATAAAATCTTAACAGATGAAATAGGGGATGAAAATTTTTATGAAGAACCAATCATTTCTCAAGTATGGGTTCTAAAAATTCATAAGTATTTATGTGGTCTGTGTTTCAGCGTTTGTTACCAATCACCCCTCAAGATAAAATAGCGGATGAATGAACATTTGCTCTTAGTTCTTAGGCTACTCAAAGTACTTATTCTACGCAGACAAAGTATTGGGTACCGGCTAGGGTAACAACATATTTACTAAATGAGCATGAATGGAAACTTAAATCCGTTGCCAACCGTACCGATACCGAACTCGCAACAAGAAACCTGCAAATCTGGAAAGTACAAGTGTCGAACATTTTGCCCTGAATTGAATCTGCTTTTATTGGACAATAAATTGGATAGTGTAAATGAATTCCTTTGAAAAAATTGAATATCGCTGTGTTTTAACACTATTTTGTATTTGAAAAAAATCTGGTACCTCCAGCATTTTGGTGAAATTCGTTATCCGTACACATAGGTTAGGTATGACTTTTTAGTATAGTAGAATAATTAACTTATATTTCACGATTTTGGCCCCTTTGGTAAAAAAATTCGTATTTTATTGATATAGAATCATCCTCAAATATTATAAAATAAAAAAACTAATGACAGGACGCCTTTTATTAGCATTGTAAGCTAGTTGTGTGTTTTAGGAAAGCTAGTTACTACGTGTTCTAAAATATATGTAAATATTAAACAAAGTTCAATATGATTAATTCATTCCATCAAAAACTATTATATATTTAAATCATAGATCTATATATACATAATTAATAAAATTTACAAAATACATGAAATTATACCTAAATTGTTAGGTGTATCATTTATGTCTATTTATATCGTATCTTGTGCTGTATAAACTTGATTAATTAATAACATAATGAGAAATATCTAAATAAATATAGAAAATATATCTCGTTCCAACATATTTGCAATTAACTAATAGATTCTGGAGTTACTTTGCGGATTTCTATGTTAATAAAAATGAAAGCAAATTATATTCCCATTTTCATTGTTATTACTTCCATTTTTATATTCTCATTAAAACGTAAAACTCTATAGTGTTCGTGTATATTTTTCACCGGCCTGTTTCCCCATTTTAACCACATACCTCACTCCTGATTTGCAAGTATCTAAACCATGCCCATCTAGTAGCAAACAAACTATTGAGTAATGAACAGAACATGAGCGAGAAGAAATTTCAAAACGTCCATTTCCTATGTATATCAGAAAGGATTTCAATGTTTTATGGTCACACGTAAATTGAGATAAAGAATTGAATTGAATTGAGATCTTAAGTGTCAGTTGAAATCTTTTGAAAGAGTTCGTCCAAGGACGTACTGCCTCCTTAGGTATTTCAGCTGCCAAAGCAATATGCCCGTTATTAGGTTCCGATTTTAAAGGGTAAAGGGTGCAGGTGAAATTACAGGCATGTGGGACTTGTCAATTTATGTCTCAGGGTGACGGACGTAGTGGCAGTGCCCGCCAGACCTTTACGACTTAAAGCTCCGAGTGGCACTTTAACTGCTATGGACAGGCGTGTCACTTACCACCAGGCGCACGAATTGTTCGTCCAGTCACATCACATCACACAAAAAACATCAAATTAACGAAACTACGCGTAGTTAATTCGATTTATATTGTCTACATTTATTTCTCTCTTGAGTTTGAACGTAATTGGTAGTTATCTGAGTGTGCCTATGGCACCCGTGACACAAGGTCTCCCTAGTGCGGGGCTATAAGTGTGTACGTTATTTATTTTATATTTACAATGTAGTAAAAATAGCTTATAATATGTTTAATTACTAAATTAAACCAGTTTGAGTTGTATTATATTTTTGAATTTTTGATATTAACTTATTTAATACTGAAACTAACGAACTACTCTGGCTCATTAACCTAAATACGATCTCGGTTACCGAAACATTAAAATCCGAATGCCATTTCGTTTGAACCGCACCTCGGTGTACTGTCGTTTGTTGACATTGTTTCGATTTAAATTCAGTCTCGTCATCCAATTTCCTTCGAATACTCTGTTTGCTATTGAAAGAGCGTACTTCCTTCTTGCTTTACCGTTAAGTGTGGAAGGATTTTTTAAAGTCCCGGAAACTAAATAATGTAGTCAGTAACTTGAGAAATAAAATAGAGTTGTTGGTGTATGACGTGGTGCGCGTTCCCACAGTCGTTGGCTTAAAGTAAAATGTTTCTGTTGAACGATCTCTGTCATTGTGGTTACGAAATAGGTAGCTATAACGATGCCACATAGGCGCTGCTTGTGCGGTGCGATGTCGCATAGGTATCTATGATTTCAACGCACCGAGTGCCACGCGAGCAAAGATAGGCAATGGGTTAAAACTCAATCAACCCGCCCGGTCTTTAACCGTAAAAACTTTACCCAAAGCGCCGTTTTTATTCCGTTATTGGCCAAAATCATGGGCAGAAACGGCGAACACGGAATTTGGTATACCTCCATACTTATTTAAATATCATAAAAAAAAATTACACGAAAAAGAGGCAACACAATACTCTCCTTGCAATCCTGTGGATTCTCACTACTAAGGACGCACATTACGATTTGATTTTTTATGAAGATCGATTCAAGCGCATACGATCTAACAAAATTTTGTATCGATTTATTTCAATGCGATTTTCAAGTGAATCGATTCAGTAGAAATACAAATCGAATAGTCTAGATCAGAAAGCATTAAACACTATTAAATTTGAACAAAACTCGATTTACAACAATATTTAGTTGTATAGTTTTAATAATTTAGTCTAGTTTTAACTCGATTTAAACTCGGGGTTAACGAAGCGCCGGGTTAAAACCCCGGCGCTTGTCCGTCTCTGCGCAAGAGCTACGCGGTGTCGCAACGTAGTGCCGCATACTTACGCACCGCATCACCCCTCCCTGCTTTATCTCTTGGCCCGATCCAAACGTTCTAATTTATATGTAATACAACGCACCGTCACCGTAAAGGCGTCGTCGCAGTGTCAACGCAAAGCATCGTTTAGCAAGACGAGACGATTTTATTTTCAATTTTCCCAAGAACAGTATATGCCTTCTGCCTCAGTTTTTAATTTATACTCATATGTCGGTATTCTCAGTTTGCATGTCCAAATATTCAACTATTATTAACTAAAGTTTATTTAGTATTCGACATTCATATGATTTCTAATTCTTTTTTATTTTGTTCCAGGTTCAGATCATACTTTCAAACAGCGATTTTATGCCGGTGGCGGGACACGCTATGCCGGCGCAAGCGACCGCTTCCAGGATCACCCCCCGAATACCTCTCGCAGTCGGGAAGCCGGTCCCGCTCAGGTTTTTACTCGTTAACGTAATTATTGTTCAAAATGATAACTTTTGTATCATTCAAACATTTCAGAAAATAGTTCTATGTTTGCACTTAATTGTTACGCTTTAAAATTACCTATAACAACATTAAATCACCGAATTTACGTATATGATCGGTTTTTGACACAGTCATATCTAGATAGACACCGCAAGTGTACGTACTTCGCGTGCCCAAAGTAAGTGAAATTCACTTATTTGCCGCTGCTACATTTCAGAACGCGCTCGACCGTTATCGTAGATAAACACCAGTCGAAAACGCGAAAAATGCGTATTTATGCCATTATAAACTACAAAAGCACCATAATTGTGGGTAAGCAAGGACGTTTCCGTCCACGGGCAAGTGATTTTATAATCAGAAAATGCATAATTTATTTTAAAAACAATTATTTTGGTTTTGTACGAATTTCGACAAACAAATATACAACCGAAAGTATGCCTCATGATTTGTAATACATTGCGGCTTTTACTTGGTGCGATATATTTGTGATCTTTTGTTAATACGCCATGAATATCGAACGAACGCACTTTTGTGTAATGCATTCAGTTTCGTGGTACAACCGCTTGTACATTTCTTTGGTCAAATTTAACATTTAGTTATGTATACGTTAGGCAACACTATTCTTGATTCTGATCGATTTTGAAAACAAAGGGACGAAAATTATTGTGACCTTAGCAATATTATAAAAATATTCTATAACTCCTTTTTGAGAGAAATAGTTGTATGGCCTACAATTATTTCTCTCGTGAGTTTGGGTGTAATTTGTGGTTGTCTATGTGTGTGTCCATGGCACCCGCGACACAGGGTTTCCCTAGTGCGGGGCTATGTTGAGTGTGTGCGTTATTTATTTATTTTTGTTGTTCACAGCAATGGACGAGCGACCATCACGAAATTCGTCACTGAGATTCACACGACCGCGTGTGAATCTCAGCAAAATAGCTATAAATAATATAAAATAAAGGACTTAACTATCTTATTCTAGTATTTTTCTACTATATTAATATTACGACTACTTGTAATCAACAAATACTTGAACAAAAATTATTCTATTTAGAATCGATTAATTAAATGGAATACGCCTGTTTAGGCGTATTTCGTTCAATCAATCAATTTAGAGCGAATGGAAGGAAGTTTCCATCACTAAATACTTCTTGTGACGTCATAGTGGGTACAAAAAATGTGGCACGCTTGGTTTTCATACAAATTGCTGTACTTGCAGTGTCTATCTAGATATATGTCTGTGGTGTTTTATCTTTATGTCTCGGATTTAAATAAACCTTTTATTCTTTTATCACTTGCAATTAAACATCGAGCATGATCTTAAAAACATTGTACTTACTTTGTCATACAATAATATTAAATTTAAGAAGTGAGGTAATTTACACTCACAGCCTTTTTTGTTTTTAGAAAGCGATGCGCTAACGATCGTTTTATTGTTTACAGCGCATAAGTTTGTAGATCTATAATTAATTGTACTTAAGAGGGAGCGGAGGAAAAATTCCTAATCTTCGATTTGATTTTAGAGGGGTATATACACTTTAAAGTTAAAAATAAAATATTGTATGAGTAACTACACGATATATTCAAGCACAGACATTAATCAGAAACATAAAACAATAATGTTTATATAAAACAGTAAAGTAAATAAAGTTTCCTCTATAGATAAAAATCACGAAATGACCTCTAATTTTCACATTTTTTCGATTTATCCTCGAAATGCTACTTTTGGTTATTAGGACCAAAATTAGATAATTAATTATATTTATGCATGCTCGACAACTGTCACTAAGGATTTTTTTTAATGCCCTTAAGTTTTAGAGTTATTCCGCTAAAACGAATTTGGTACTTTTAATGCGCAAAATTCAACATCTCCTGTCGCATGTCACGCGAACTTCAGGCATATATTTGTTTTCACAAATTTGGGCGGAGCCAACGTCTAAACTTTTTTGGCATGCTCCCTCTTAAGCCAAAATATTTAAAACAATTTGCCTTTTCTAATTATTTCTATCACTTAATCAATGCTGATGTCAAGATTTTAGAATATATTGCAATTTTCATTAATTATAGAGAGGCAAATTGAACATAACATAAAGTGTATTCTATCTACATCTCTTTAAACATTAAACTAAACATGGAATTAATTTTTGTAATTGTAGATCGGCAGGTAATTATGTAATAGTAAAACTGTACGAGAACCTGTCTATCTATTCATTATTTCTTTTTTAAATCTTGTCTTGACTTGAACAGCTTGACTTTCTACAACATAATAAATATGTGTCGACTTTCTTTTCGCAGTTAAAACCGCGCTTACAAAATCCAAACTCAAAGAAGTCATACAAAATAATTTTATTTCTACTGAATGTTTTAATTAAGAAGAATAGAGCTTATACAAATAAACTGTCACTTAAAATATTACAGTAAAGTGGTACTAATTTTTAATTGAATAAATAAAAAATATAATTAAATGAAAAAAAATCCATGAAATCTTAACGTATTTTAATAAAACGAAAAAAATTCGTTAAAAGATTAAATTTGTGTATCCAAGGAAATGGAGCTCATTTCGAGCAACTAATTAGTTAGATTACCGTTTTTTTTCGTTTTATTAAAATACGTTAAGATTTCATGATTTTTTTTTTTCATTTAATTAACCAATTTTGTGAGAGAGATTTCATTCTTATAATTAACCCTATCGATCGATGCAATAAAAGTGCGGGGTGCATTTTTTTCAGATTAAAGCGGGTTCGATTCCCGCGTGTTGCTAGAAGTTGTCGAAAACCTATGAAAGCAGTTTTATTTCTTTTAAAAAATAGAGGAGTATTTCTTTTAAGGAAAAATTTCTATCTCCAGTATTTAGAGTACTTTCCCTCCTGGTGGCATTACAAATTTCCACCCTGTATATACGTATTCGTACGTATGGACAATTACATGTCACGAAGATTATGACTCTGCATGTGTAATGTATGCGTCAGGAAGAGACGCGTTTTTAAAGTAATGGTCAAAAAATCCATGCGAATATACATACATATAATCAGTGTGGCAGACAAGCATCCCCTGTAAAAAATATATGTTAATTCCCACAAAGTTTACGTTTCAACAGGCTTAGAGGATCCCAAAGACTCAAGAGGAAATACAGTGCGAGAATGGCCGCAGTTATCGTGTCGGGTCCGACTCGGCCCACGGCAGCGGCTGCTGTCGCAGAGACCACCTTTGCCTGTTAGTTGCCCTAGGTGTCCGTCACATACTCTTTACGACCGTAAGTATTAATTGCAATTGTACATTGAATAACTACTCGTAATATGAAAAGGAGAATTCCCAAATGTTGACTTACAATTGTTTTACTCTTAGATTAACTGCGATTTCTTTTTGAATATTCGCCACAGTTCCTTTTACAAATTTCCAAAACTCTTCAATTTCATTTTTGATCTGAAAATTTTCTATCGATTTGTATAATGATATAGACACGACATTTAAAAATTTAGGCTTTTAATCCTTTGCTGGTGTGCTTCATGCAATTACACATATTCTCGTTGGAACATGTTCCTCAGCTCCAATTAAATGATTTTAATACAATTACTCATAATCTCACATATTTTTAATTTAAGAAGTGCCCGACTACACGGTCTCCGTATCACGAGGCTTATCCTTACTTTTTTATTATTGCCATATCATCATTAAATTCACTTTATTATATTAATACCAGTTGGTATTAATTCTCAAGTAGATTAAAAAGTAATATGTGCTTTTTTTACAGCTTACATCCACGGACGGAAGGCATAAAGAACTGTAAAAGTTACAGAAAATGTCAATAATATTTTGTTGAAAAAATCGGACTAAATCTGTTGGATATAAAAAAAGTATTGAAGAAATAAAAATTAAGTGAAAAGGACAGTTTTAATAAAAGTACTTCTAGTAAATTTTAGTAACAAATAAGTAAGTTAATATAGTGAGTACTGGGTAACTAATTAAATAAAAAATAATAGACACTGTTGTCTAGTCAATTTACTTTCCGTCTTTATGTGATCTACACAACGAATTGTCTAGTCTTTTGCTATTGAAAAGTTTTTTTTTTCATATATTGTATATTTTTATTTATTGGGTGCCCTTAGTCGATACACTACAGATATTTTAAGTACAGATAATGAAAGAATGACTATTTAGAAATTTCCGTCACACGTGATGAATGATTACGAGTAAAATTTTTGGATCTAACCGTAATCAACAGGATATTAATAAAAAGATAGATATATAGATATTATAGATAGACAGATAGATACTAAATAAACAGGAAGTTTTACTAAGTTTACGAACACTTTTTTTACTTTATTTCAAATAAGAAAACCCCTGAAGGTCTTTTTATCTGAGTAAAGGAAATTCGTAGGTAAAAACTCTATCTAGCGTTAGGCCATGGCTTGAGCCGCTAGTTTAGTTTATTAACTGTAAAATTAACTACGCAAGAATAGCGGACCTTAACTCATCGAAATATGCGAGCACCAGATCAAGCAAATACCGAATAGTACATGGTGATAAATCGCTATTTATGATAAAAGGATTTAGTGCCGCTCACGTGGGCAACGTCAAAACATACAAAGATTTATAGGAATAAAATAAACGCAAAGTACTTTCGTAAATTTCTTCGTTGAAATCGCTTTTTGAAGCAGTCAATGCGTCGAGTAATCGGCCTATGTAAAAACGGTGGGGTTGAATACAAAATCCTCGAAAAAGATCTATCTCTGCCGATTTTCCAACATTTATGTCGTATTTTTATAAATACACAAAAACACAAAACCACAACGCAATAATAGAAGATTTTATGTTCAAAGAATTCAACCATTCGTTTTTTGTCTCTGCCTAGAGTAAGCATATTCATTTGCCATTTAATAACGCCTACACAAAACTTTTGTGAAGCGGCAGTTTACTGTCTTAATCTAACTAATATTCAGCTCTTTAAACTGAAACGGTTTCTCAACGGATTAGGTAGTTTATGAAGTTAGTGATTCTTTTACTCTAGGTTCACTCTCATTATTACCTAATTATACGTGAATTATAAAAATTGAAATGATGTTAGGAATTTGTGAAGATTCCTAGCTTATTAGCTAACCACAAACAACCTTCATTGTCCTAATACAATTTTATATGAAAAATACTCGGCGAGTTTCGTCTCCGGGATAAGTATTAATCGATCTACCTAGACAAGAAACTTTCTGAAGTCTCTTTTAAGATTTTTTCTTTAAATATTAAAATCTAAATGAAGTTACTATTATAATAATGTGCTAATTATAATTCAAACAATAGTGCCAAGTTCCATGTGTCACATCTCGTGCTCAGGGGTAAAAGAAGCAAAATGTTATTTCTAATATTTAAATGATCATTTTAAATTTGCAGAATCAGCAGGCAAAAAAATGTAAGCGGTCATATTTTTTAATGTTTGATCCTTTTTCTGAGATATAAAATAAATTAAATCAATGTATATTTTAATCTGTTCGGAGCCAATGTTTGATTTGTATAAATTAACTTTGATAGTTTCATGTTGCGCCTCAAAACTAAAACGTATGGGCATTAAAAACCCTGAAATGTTCGGAAACGCAAGCAAATTCGCTTCTGGCATATCTCTGCTTTCTCATATGCTAACCTAACCTACTGAAAGGAGGGCGCAACCAAGATTTGTCCTATACGAAAAAAGAGGGTCAAATATTATTTTTGACTATCAAATATTATACCTTCGTTCATTTATAATTTATCTAATATCGATGAAACAGTTAATCTATATATCAAACATAAAAAAATATTGTTTATTTAAACAAGTGCACATTTATCCCATTTAAAATTATACGCTATTGCCACAAATATTTTAAAAAGTTTCATTTTCTGAAACTTTTCTTTTCTGGCTGTCGTATTTAAGGGTTCAAGAATCTCGCAAATCAACACATTTCAAAGTTCTTTGTCATCAGTTTATAGAATTTTAATTGATTTGAAAACGTAAAAATTTTCGGGTTTCTCTTCTTTAAATAAAGAGAAACTCGAAAATTTGTACGTTTTGTTAATGGTACGTAAATTTCAACTTTTCGTTGACCACAAAAGCAAAATTATTGCAGGGTAATAAAATAAGTTCATGGTTTTGTGTTAGAACTAATTTGAAAATGAGATTATGGTATTTGGGTTATTAGATCACCCAGAAACAAAAATCACGTTACATGGTGAAAAGGGTAATTTTTAAGTAATTCCAAATTAACCATAATGGATATGTAAAGCCAAGAAAAATATTATCTTATTGCAATAAAAATTTTCAAGCTCCTATAACTATAACTATATATAATATATATATATATATATATATACCATAACTATGTTAAAACGTGATTTAAAAAAAATACCGATCAAAGGCATTTCTCTATCTACTTAAGGCGTCAAGTTGTGTGGTTGATGTTTGCATAATAGATTTAAAATAATACCATTTTTAGATTTTATTAATTGATGATTTAGTAATGCTAAGTTTGTAGATGTCATTCTCAAGGTGAAGGCTAGGTGCTTTTGGTACAAGTGTTACCAGGTAGCACCAGTTCCTTAAAAATAGGGAACGTGTCTTAAAATTACTAAGATATTATGTATACTTTATATGCCTACATAGGGCGCACTATAAGTTTCCGGAACTGGCCACTTACATAAACAATATTTAAAAAATAATAACAACATTGGATGGAACTCTTTGGATGTAGAATTACTTTGCTTCAATAATATATCGTGTGTGTGTGTGTGTGTGTGTGTGTGTGTGTGTGTGTGTGTGTGTG